TTCCTTCCTAGATAACATTCCACTATGAACATATGCATACTTTTCTCCAAGAGGACGTTGATGGACACTCAGGTTTCATCCATCTTTGACTGTTGTGCGCAGTGCCACTATGGACTTGGATGTAAAAATGTATGTTGGGGTTAGAAAGTCTTTGTCTAATGTAGAAAAAAAGCCCTGGAAATTCATGTCTGTGCTTTTTAGATATGTACAATTCTTTCATCTTCAGCCAGCTACTCATAAAGTGAGTATACTGCTACCACTTGCATGCAGAACATAAAACTCTCAGGGTGGTAGACCAACTGCATTATTTATTCATCTGTTCTGACACAAATATCACACTTGCTCAACAGACAGTGAAGTCTGCAAGTGAAATACCATTCCAGAATTGGAGTACAAGTTTGCCAACCAGTGACCTGGAACCAATTCATATACAGTAGCATCAGAGTAACATAATGCAGAAGTGTAACAGAAAAATATACATCAGAAATCACATTAACTGTATCCATTTTTTCTGTTCTTTCAGGAAAAGGTGGGAGGTTTTTAACCAAGGATTCAGAACTGAAAGGATTGAGATTCAGCTAGATGTGCTCTCAATAGAAGAGGAAAGTATAAGCAAAGAAAGCAAGGATGCTTTCGAGAAAAGAGGAATTGACAAAGACAGAAACATTTGGAAACCAGCTCAGGCACAATTTGACCTGGGATTGGAATAGAGCAAAGAAGGAGGTGGTCAGAAAGATATTATCTTGCAGAAGTTAGGCCAAAGGCAGAAGGCAAAGCTTGGCAGGATTTTTGGATGTCTGTTGTGTATTTGTGATATGAGTGTATAATACTAAAATGTCCTTTCTCAAAAATAAAATTCTTTCTTGGAAAAAAAAACAGTTTAATCCAAGCTGTTCTTCCCCTTACAAACACACACACACACACACACACACACACACACACACACACACACACACGACTTCCTTAAGTTTTAATATTGTTTTTTTTTTTTTTGTTTTTTCAGTCTTGGGGCTTGAACTCTGGGCCTGGGCACTGTCCCTCAGCTCTTCAGCTCAAGGTGAGTGCTCTCCCACTTGAGCCACAGCTCCATTTCTGGCTTTTTCTGTTTATGTGGTGCTGAGGAATTGGACCCAGGGCCTCATGCATGCAAGGCAAGCACTCTACCACTGAGCCACCTTCACTACTTTCTTTTTTTAATTTATTTTATTTTATTTGTGAACATAATGTACAGAGGGGTTACAAATACATGGGCAGGATAATGCGTACATTTCTTACCAAGCATTGCAGCCTCCTCCTTTGTTTACCCTTCACATCCTTTCCCAGCCTCCCCCTTCCCCCCCCCAGTCCCAATCCTTCTCCCCCCCCTCCCCCCGCACTGACATTGTAAAGCTCGTTATGGACATGACAACTTGTACTTCTCATTGTTGCAACAGGTCCACCTGTATCCTTAAACAACTGGTTTTTCCCCATCTCCTCCACAAGTTATACTGACATCAAATATAGTGAAAGCAGAGGTTATACTGTAGGGGAGGGACATACAAAGCAACAAAGAAATAATCTTATAAATGCATTAGAAACACATGCATGAAAGAAAAAAAACATTAAAATACATATCTAAGGGTTCATTTTCCTGACATCACATTATCTGACCTTTTCCGCTTGACTCATACATATACTAGTTATTGCAAATAAGGGAAACCATGGGGCCTATGTTTCTTTGGGCCTGGCTTACTTCACTTAATATAATTTTTTCCAAGTCTTTCCATTTCCTAACAAATTGGGAAATGTCATTCTTTCTGAAGGAGGCATAGAATTCCATTGTGTATATATACCACATTTTCTTGATCCATTCATCTACTGAGGGGCATCTGGGTTGGTTCCAGATCTTAGCTATGGTAAATAATGCTGCAATAAACATAGTTGTGCTGGTAGCTTTAGTGTGGTCTTGTTTGTAAACATTTGGGTAAATGCCCAAAAGTGGGATTGCTGGGTCATAGGGAGTTCTATGTGGAGTCTTTTGAAGAACCTCCATACTGCTTTCCAAAGTGGTTGAACAAGTTTACATTCCCACCAACAATGAAGTAAGGTTCCCTTCTGTCCACATCCCCTCCAGCATCTGTTGTTGTTAGAGTTCTTGATTTTTGCCATTCTAACTGGAGTGAGGTGGTATCTCAATTTTGTTTTGATTTGCATTTCTTTTATGGCTAGGAAGGTTGAACATTTCTTCATGTGTTTATTGGCCATCCTTCTTTCTTCTTCAGAGAAGTTTCTCTTTAAGTCTTTCGCCCACTTGTTTATTGGGCAGTTGTTTCTTTGAGGATTTGTTGTTGGGGGGTTTAATTTTTTGAGTTCCAAGTATATTTTAGATATGAGACCCTTGTCTATTGTATGGCTAGTAAAGATCTTCTCCCAATCCGTGGGGTTTCTATTGATCTTGCTAGCTATGTCCTTTGCCATGCAGAAGCTCTGCAACTTCATGCAATCCCATTTGTCCAACCTTTCTTTGATTTGTTGTGTTTCCGGGTCTCTATTCAGAAAATTTCGACCTGAGCCAAGGAGACCTAGGGTTTCTCCTATTCCATCCTGTAATGTTTTCAGAGTGTCTGCTTTGACTTTGAGGTCTTTGATCCATTTGGAGTTGATTCTGGTACAGGGTGATATATAAGGATCTAGCTTTAGTTTTCTACAAGTAGTTAACCAATTTTGCCAGCACCATTTACTGAAGAGGCTGTCTTTCTTCCATTCTATTGTTTTAGCTCCCTTATCGACGATTAGATGGCTAAAGGTCTGTAGGTTCATTTCTGGGTTTTCAATTCTATTCCATTGGTCCTGAGGTCTGTTCTTATGCCAATACCAAGCTGTTTTGATTACTATGGCTTTATAGTAGAGTTTGAAATTTGGTATTGATATTCCTCCAGCAGTGTTCTTTCCGTTGAGGAGCGTTTTTGCTATTCGGGGTCTTTTATTGTTCCATATGAATTTTTGGATTGCTTCTTCTATTTCCTTGAAGAATGAGGTTGGAATTTTGATAGGTATTGCATTGAATTTGTAGATAGCCTTGGGAAGTATTGCCATTTTCACGATGTTAATCTTTCCAATCCAGGAGCATGGGAGGTTTTGCCATTTTTTAAGTTCTGTGCTGATTTCCTTTTTCAAGATTTTAAAGTTTTCATCATAGAGGTCCTTCACTTCTTTGGTTAATTCCTAGGTATTTTATTTTTTGTGGGGCTATTACAAATGGAGTTGCTTTCCTAATTTCAGCCACACTTTTCTCATTGTTGGCATACAGAAAAGCCATTGATTTTGGGGGGTTAATTTTATACCCTGCTACTTTGCCAAAGTTTTGAATCAGCTTGAGTAATTTGGGAGTGGAGTCTATGGGATTCTTTAAATACAAGATCATGTCGTCTGCAAAGAGGGAGAGTTTTATTTCTTCTTTCCCTATTTGGATCCCCTTTATGTCTGCATCTTGTCTTATTACTGTAGCTAGGCATTCTAATTCTAGATTGAAGAGAAGTGGAGCGAGTGGACATCCTTGTCTTGTTCCTGAGTTAAGAGGAAATGGCTTTAGTTTTTCACCATTGAGTATAATGCTGGCTGTAGGTTTGTCATATACAGCCTTTCTTGTATTGAGGAATGTTCCATGGATTCCTAATTTTTCCAAAACCTTCATCATAAAGGGGTGTTGGATCTTGTCGAATGCTTTTTCTGCATCTATTGAGATAACCATGTGGTTCTTATTCTTGCTCCTGTTGATGTGATAAATAATATTAATTGATTTGCGTATATTAAACCAGCTTTGCATCCCTGAAACAAATCCTGTTTGATTGTGGTGTATGATTTTTTGGATGAATTGTTGAAGTCGGTTGGCCAATATTTTGTTGAGAAGTTTTGCATCAATGTTCATCAAAGAAATGGGTCTATAGTTCTCTTTCTTTGATGAGTCCCTGCCTGGTTTTGGGATGAGGGTTATGATGGCTTCATAGAATGTGTTCGGTAGTGAACTTTCTCTTTCAATTTCATTGAAGAGTTGGAGGAGTATTGGTGTGAGCTCTGCTTTGAAGGCCTTGTAGAATTCCGCTGTAAACCCATCTGGTCCTGGACTTTTCTTAGCTGGAAGGTCTCTTATTGCTGTTTCTATTTCAACGCTTGATATGGGCCTGTTAAGCTGGTTTAACTCATCTTGGTTTAGTTTTGGCATGTCAATATTTGCTAGGAAAAGGTCCATTTCTGTCAAGTTCTCAAACTTATTAGCATAAAGTTTTGAGAAGTATTCCCTTATAATGTTTTGAATCTTGGTTGTTTCCGTGGTGATGTTTCCATTCTCGTCTCTGAGTTTATTAATTTGGGTGTGTTCTCTTCTTTTTCTGATAAGATTTGCTAAGGGTCTGTCAATTTTGTTAAGTTTTTCGAAGAACCAACTCTTTGTTTTGTTGATTCTTTGCATAGTTTTTTTGGATTCTAATTCATTTAATTCTGATTTTAATTATTTCTTTCCGTCTACTGGATTGGGGTTTATCTTGCTGATCTTTTTCAAGGAGGTTTAGATGTGTCACTAAATTGTTAGTTTCAGATCTCTCCAATTTGTTGATGTAGGAGCTCAGAGCTATAAACTTGCCTCTGAGTACTGCTTTTGCTGTGTCCCAGAGGAGCTGGTAATTTGTGTGTTCATTTTTGTTGAATAGCATGAACATTTGAATTTCCTTTCTAATCTCTTCCAAGACCCACTCATGATTCAGCAGTGTGTTGTTCAGCCTCCATGTGATACCGGACTTTCTTTGGTGGCTTTTGGTGTTGAGTTCTAATTTTATTCCCTTGTGGTCAGAGAAAATGCAAAGTATAACTTCAATGTTTCTGAATTTGGACAAGTTTGCTTTGTGGCCTAAAATGTGGTGTATTTTAGAAAATGTTCCATGTGCTGCTGAGAAAAATGTGTATTCTGATGCTGCTGGGTGAAATGTTCGGTAGATATCTGTTAAATCTAGTTGATCTATGCAGCTGTTTAGATCTGTAGTTTCTCTGTTGAGTTTTTGCCGAGTTGATCTGCCTAGTGGGGAGAATGGTGTGTTAAAATCCCCAACAATTAATGTCTTTGGATCTATATGGGATTTGAGGGAAAGTAGTGTTTCTTGGATAAATTTGGGTGCTCCATTGTTTGGTGAGTAGATATTTAGAATTGTAATATCCTCCTGAAAGAGAGATCCCTTAATTAGTATGTAGCGACCTTCTTTATCTCTTCTCACGAGTTTTAATTTGAAGTCTATTTTATCTGTTATTAGGATTGCAACTCCTGCCTGTTTATGGGGGCCGTTTGCTTGGTAGATTTTGTTCCAACCTTTAACATTGAAAATGTGTTTGTTTTTACGGGCAAGATGTGACTCCTGAAGGCAGCAGATAGAAGGGTCTTGTTTTTTAATCCAACTAGACAGTCTATGTCACTTAATTGGAGAGTTCAGTCCGTTAACGTTAAGAGAAAGGACTGAGAGGTGTTTGGGAGTTCCTGACTTGTTATCCACCTTCTTGGGGGTTGCGAAATCTGGGTTCTTCCTATGGTTCTTGGATTCTCAGTTTGGGTGCAGTTTCTTGGCCTTTATTGTGGTCTTGTTGGTTTTCTATGTGTAGGACATCTTTAAGAATCTTTTGTAGGTTTTTTGGGGGTTAATTTTATAACCTGCTACTTTGCCAAAGTTTTGAATCAGCTTGAGTAATTTGGGAGTGGAGTCTATGGGATTCTTTAAATACAAGATCATGTCATCTGCAAAGAGGGAGAGTTTTATTTCTTCTTTCCCTATTTGGATCCCCTTTATGTCTGCATCTTGTCTTATTGCTGTAGCTAGGCATTCTAATACTAGATTGAAGAGAAGTGGAGAGAGTGGGCATCCTTGTCTTGTTCCTGAGTTAAGAGGAAATGGCTTTAGTTTTTCACCATTGAGTATAATGCTGGCTGTAGGTTTGTCATATACAGCCTTTATTGTATTGAGGAATGTTCCATGGATTCCTAATTTTTCCAAAACCTTCATCATAAAGGGGTGTTGGATCTTGTCAAATGCTTTTTCTGCGTCTATTGAGATAACCATGTGGTTCTTATTCTTGCTCCTGTTGATGTGATGAATAATATTAATTGATTTGCGTATATTGAACCAGCTTTGCATCCCTGAAATGAATCCTGTTTGATCGTGGTGTATGATTTTTTGGATGAATTGTTGAAGTCGATTGGCCAAAATTTTGTTGAGAAGTTTCGCATCAATGTTCATCAAAGAAATGGGTCTATAGTTCTCTTTCTTTGATGAGTCCCTACCTGGTTTTGGGATGAGGGTTATGATGGCTTCATAGAATGTGTTCGGTAGTGAGCTTTCTCTTTCAATTTCATTGAAGAGTTGGAGGAGAATTGGTGTGAGCTCTGCTTTGAAGGCCTTGTAAAATTCCGCTGTAAAACCATCTGGTCCTGGACTTTTCTTAGCTGGGAGGTCTCTTATTGCTGTTTCTATTTCAGTGCTTGATATGGGCCTGTTAAGATAGTTTACCTCATCTTGGTTTAGTTTTGGCATGTCAATATTTGCTAGGAAGAGGTCCATTTCTGTCAAGTTCTCAGACTTATTAGCATAAAGTTTTGAGAAGTATTCCCTTATAATGTTCTGAATCTTGCTTGTTTCCGTGGTGATGTTTCCATTCTCATCTCTGAGTTTATTAATTTGGGTGTGTTCTCTTCTTTTTCTGATAAGATTTGCTAAGGGTCTGTCAATTTTGTTAAGTTTTTCGAAGAACCAACTCTTTGTTTTGTTGATTCTTTCTATAGTTTTTTTGGATTCTAATTCATTTAATTCTGATTTAATTTTGATTATTTCTTTCCGTCTACTGGATTGGGGTTTATCTTGCTGCTCTTTTTCAAGGAGGTTTAGATGTGTCATTAAATTGTTAGTTTCAGATCTCTCCAATTTGTTGATGTAGGAGCTCAGAGCTATAAACTTGCCTCTGAGTACTGCCTTTGCTGTGTCCCAGAGGAGCTGGTATTTTGTGTGTTCATTTTTGTTGAATAGCATGAACATTTGAATTTCCTTTCTAATCTCTTCCATGACCCACTCATGATTCAGCAGTGTGTTGTTCAGCCTCCATGTGATACCGGACTTTCTTTGGTGGCTTTTGGTGTTGAGTTCTAACTTTATTCCCTTGTGGTCAGAGAGAATGCAAGGTATAACTTCAATGTTTCTGAATTTAGACAAGTTTGCTTTGTGGCCTAAAATGTGGTCTATTTTAGAAAGCGTTCCATGTGCTGCTGAGAAAAACGTGTATTCTGATGCTGCTGGGTGAAATGTTCGGTAAATGTCTGTTAAGTCTAGTTGATCTATGCAGCTGTTTAGATCTGCGGTTTCTCTGTTGAGTTTTTGCCGAGTTGATCTATCTAGTGGGGAGAGTGGTGTGTTAAAATCCCCAACGATTAATGTCTTTGGATCTATATGGGATTTGAGGGAAAGTAGTGTTTCTTTGATAAATTTGGGTGCTCCATTGTTTGGCGAATAGATATTTAGAATTGTAATATCCTCCTGAAGGAGAGATCCTTTAATTAGTATGTAGCGACCTTCTTTATCTCTTTTCATGAATTTTAATTTGAAGTCTATTTTATCTGATATTAGGATTGCAACTCCCGCCTGTTTATGCGGTCCGTTTGCTTGGTAGATTTTGTTCCAGCCTTTAACATTGAAAATGTGTTTGTTTTTACGGGCAAGATGTGACTCCTGCAGGCAGCAGATAGAAGGGTCTTGTTTTTTAATCCAACTAGACAGTCTATGTCGCTTAATTGGAGAGTTCAGTCCGTTAACATTAAGAGATAGGACTGAGAGGTGTTTGGGAGTTCCTGACTTGTTATCCACCTTCTTGGGGGTTGCGAAATCTGGGTTCTTCCTATGGTTCTTGGATTCTCAGTTTGGGTGCAGTTTCTTGGCCTTTATTGCGGTCTTGTTGGTTTTCTATGTGTAGGACATCTTTAAGAATCTTTTGTAGGGCTGGTTTGGTGGAGATGTATTGTTTCAATTTTTCTTTGCTATGGAAGGTTTTTATTTGGCCTTCAGTTATGAAGGAGAGTTTAGCTGGGTACAGTATTCTTGGTTGATAGTTGTTTGTTTTTAGGGCATGGCATACATCGTTCCAGGCTCTTCTCGCTTTGATTGTCTCTGCTGAGAAATCTGAGGTGATTCTAATTGGTTTCCCTTTATAGGTGATTACCCTTTTCTCCTTGACAGCTTTAAGGATCTTTTCCTTGGTCTGAGTTGATCCTGTGTGGATTGTGGGATGTCGTATTCTGGTCTGGTCTGTTTGGAGTTGTAAAAGCTTCTTGTATCTGAATAGACCTATCTTTTTGCATGTTTGGGAAGTTCTCTGCTAGGATCCTGTTAAACAAATTTCCTAGGCCATTGACTTCTGTTTCTAGGTGCTTCTCTACACCCATTATCCTTAGATTAGGCCTTCTGATGGTGTCTTCCATGTGTTGGATGGATCTATAATATTTCTTGGACTTGTCTTGGATGTTTGTATGTTCTTTCTCTATAATATCTAGGCTGTCTTCAATCCCTGAGATTCGATCTTCTGCATGGTCTAACCTGCTGTCAAGACTTTCTACTTTGTTTTTTTATCTCTTTTCCTTCTAATTGGTCAGCTTTGATGGGTTCAAGTTCTTTGTTGAAGCTTTGTTTTAGATCTTGTATGAACTTCTTTACTTCCTTAATTTGATGTTCAGTGTTTATTCTCAGATCACTTAGTTGATTGGTTATGGTTTCCTTGGACTCCTGTTCCTTCTGTTGGGTTCCATTCAGCATTCCCTTTGTGGTCTCCCTGACTTCCTTCAGCTCTTTGTTAATGGATTCCATGAATGCCTTTAGTGATCTTTGTGTATTCTCTTCCTGCTCTCTCAATTCCTGTATTACTCTTTGATAAGCTTCCTCCCATTTGTGGGATTCCTGTAGTTCTCTTTGAGTGTTCTCAGCCTGTTCATGCCATTCCTGCCTTTCTCTTTGAGTATTCTCAAGCTGCTTATGCAAATCCTGTATCAGCTTTTGAGTAGCTTCCTCACGCTTATGATATTCCTGTATAAACTTTTGGAACGCCTCCTCTCTCTCCCTATCACTCTCATACAGAGACCTTTGTATGCCTTCAATCTTTTGATTTTTCATGTTTGCCAGCAGTATTTGTAGAGCTATTTGGGAATTCTCCTCTGGATTATTCATTGTCTGTTCTGTCCCCTGATTATCGGGATTGGGAATTGAGATACCCGGATTTGCCATTTTTCTTGTGTTTTTCCGGCTTACTCTGCCCATTTGAGATGAAAATAACACCAGTTTTGTACTAGAACACTATCTTAAGGCAAGCATCAACAAAAGTCTGAATTTGCACAGTCAGTAGTCTACAGATACAATCTAGTTCAACAGATACATCTATTCAACATCAAACAACTATACGTTAATGGGCTGCGAACTGCAAAGTAGAATTTGGAAGACCAGAAATTATTAGGGTTAGGGAGAGATGTGGGTAAAAAAATAGGAATAGATTGATGTTGGGAGGCTCTGGGGGAGTTAACTAAGTCTTAATCTCAAAGCAGGAAATAGGTTGGGTAGGATGAAAGTAGAGAGAGAGAAAAAAAAAGAAAGGGAAGGGGAAAGAAAAGAGACCAGAAAAAATAGAAAAGTAAGAATTAATAAAATTATGTAGAATCGATAACAATCTATTTAGATAAGAACGTGAATTTATTGAGAGAAGGGGAGGGATATAAAGGAAATGTGAAAAACTTAAAAATAAAAATGCTTAAAATATTATATAGGTATAGAGAGGAGAAGGTGAAAAGGATAAGAAAGGAAGAAGAAAAAGATGAGAAGTTCAGTAGAGCTAAACAAAAAACAAAAAGTTAATTTAAAAAAAAAAAAAGAGAAAGAAGACCAAAAAAGAAAGCAAAAACGCACACTCCCGTATCCCCAAAATAAAAATTATAAGAGGAAAAGAAAGTTTCTGGAAAACATTTTTTTTTTATCAAAAAAGGCAAAGATTAAAGATTGAAAAAAGTTTTAGAAAAGAAAAAAAAATTTTTTTATATAAGGTACCAAAAATAAAAACTAAAAAAAAAAAAAAAAGAAGACGAAGAAGAGAAAAAAGAAAAAAAAACAAAAAAACAAAAAACAAAAAAACCCAAAAATTTCTTTGATTTTGTTTTTTTTTCGGGAGGAGTGGGAAAAATCCTGTATCTCCCTTGTGTCCGTAACCAGCCTCTTGTTGAAGTCTCTGGTCTGCTTGTGGTCCTGTGGCTTGGTTGGTTTCTTAAGTCAGTTTGTTCGGACAGGCAGTAAAATGCTCTGCTTTACCCAGGATTTGGCGATCCTCCTCCCAGGCTAGTTCATTGGGAGACAGATCTGCTTTGAGTATCACAAAAGAGGGGGATGCAGTGATGAGGCTAGGTTCTGGTAGCTTTTCCAGGGCTGGTTTGTGAAAACCTCACAGAGCCCAGCCTGGAGCCATTCTCAGGGTTTCTGTTTACTGATTTTCGATTGCTTGTCGAGGCTGCTAGAGGGAGGGGCAGCCTCTGGCTCTGATTACCCAGTGAAGAAACCCACTCCTCGGGCTGGCGCCGGAGCTGGGTGACTTTTCCCTGGGTGGAGCTGAGTCTGGCAGGTCACGCCGCGGTTAAGTTCTTGTTACCTGCTAAATGACTGGTTTTATTCCAAGGCCTGAGCTGGAGCTGGCAGCTCCCTCGAGCTTTGTTGGTATCCAAGATGGAGATCACCGGTGCTGGGGGGGGAGGGGTGGCCTTCCCTCCTCTGCTCCCTGAGAAGGAGTGAGGAGGTCAGGCTTCTACTCACGCCAAGTCTTGGTTCCTGGGTCGTCTCTGCAGGATGAAGGTGTCTGCTCCTTGTCGGTTCTTGCTGGTGTTGAGTAGAATCCGCTCGCCTGCTGCGTCTGGCTCCTTCATCCCGGACTCTCTGTTGCTCAGGTATGGCGGCTGCGCTCGCCCGCCACCGCCACAGCTGCCGCCGGGGCTGCTGGCAAGGGCTCAGAAGTGTCTCCTTGCCTGGGTTTCCCTCTCTGGCCAAACTCTCTGTCCTGTGATGGCACACTTGGTGTAATTCTCTGACTTAGGACTGTTCACTGGAACTCTAAAACTGCTTTCTATGCGAGAGCTTACTTAGACTCCAGCTTCTCCTCCGCCATCTTCCCGGACTCTGCCTCACTACTTTCTTAAGTTTTATTATTGTTTTTATATTTTAAAGTAACTAACCATTACAACTCAATAAAATTATCTCTTTTCAAGGACTTTTTACAATATTGGTAATGATTTTGCCACTATTTTAACGCAATTTGGGTCAAACTTGCAGATTAAAATTTTTTTGTGTATTTGTGCTGCTGAACTTGGAGCTTAAACTTAGGGCCTAGGAGCCATCCCTGGGCTTTTTCCCCTCAAGGCAAGTGCTCTGCCATTTGAGACCTAGCTCTATGATTCCAGCTTTTTAGAGATTAATTGGAGATAAGAGTCATAGACTGCCCAGGCTGGCTTAGGTCTCAGTCTCCTGAGTAGCTAGGATTATAGGCATGAGCCACAGGAGCCCAGTGCTGATTAAATTTTAAACACATATCAGACTAGCAAGTTGAAGTTTAACAGAACTGTCATTAGACTAAATGCTAACTGTGCACTTGTTTCCAAAGGATTTAATAATACAAAGGCATTCAGAGTTTTCTATATCTGGTGTTCTTACTGGTAGATTTTTAAAGAAGTTTTTCTGATCTCCAAATCAACTGTTCTAAAGAGCAGTTTTGTATAATGTGCACAATAAATAGTCACTAAAGAGCAATTAGAACTAATAATCACTGAACAGGCAATGGATACAGAGTTTACAGATTTCCCTAAAGTAATTAACATTCTCTTCCCTTGTTTAAATTTTGTTTTCACCTAAATTACCATAATGCTTTTCTCAGTGAGTTTAAAAGAAGAGTAACAGGAATTGAATCTTTCTTGATTAACTTCTAGAAAAACTGAGGTTAATTGTCCAATTAGGTATCTGCAATTCTTGAACACAGAACAGTGGTCAGAGAAATCTTTCTCTTGTCTCTAAGAAAGCTTGGGTTGTAAGACATAGATTTGCACCACCTCATGGGTGCTTGATTTTGAACAAGCAAAACACACAAGGAGCTAATACTTTCTCTTATCTTACCTTAGAATTAGCAAGTAAAGTTGCATCACATCAAAAGCAGACAGGTGAGACTTAGCAGACATTCTCCAAAAGTCTATCTTTGCAGTATACAGGACCTGAAAATATCTAGAAGTTCATTGTCCATTATACCCAAACCAATTATGTCAAGAAAAGGAGATATGCGTCTGTCATTGGCCTAAATATGGTGGTTCTCAAACCTTTCCACAATTTTCCTGTGACATAAGAACTTGGAGATAATAATAAAGTATTCCATTAACTACTTTCATCTCAAATTCCAAGATAAAATTTTACATAGTTATTTTAACAATGGGAGTATGAATTCCAAAGAAGTCTAATTCATATTAGAACCAAATTTCAGGCTTGTCTTAAAGATCAGTGCAGAACTGTAGCTCCAAAAACCTGACCAAAAGTAAATCATTATAAACAATAGAGTAATCAAACTACCACTAACAAATTGGACTGACAATGTTAAACTGAAATGAAACTAATGTATAATTCAAAGCAATATTCAGCCCACAAGTACACACACACTTATTGCATGTAAGACATCCTATGAACTAGGTCATTGTGATAAAAAAACAGACATGGTCTCAGAGCAATTGATTTGAAACAAATTAATTACAGTTATGGTAGGTGATAGGGAATAAACATCTAGTATATTATGGTTATAATGATGTCATAAATTATGGTAGTCCATGAGGTAATTTGAAGGATGTAAGCATGTAAAATCTTTAGAAAAGTGTAGTATTTCAGAGATGGCTAAAAATTCTAATATTAAATCAGTTTTGGTGTCTTATTACCAAAGTTAAGTAATGTTAAATGAATCATTTAGTAGACTACTAGAAAGTTATTCATAGGTGCATAAAAATAATATAGCATTTCATGTCACTTATCTAGAAGTTGAACTTAGCAATTTAAGAAAAATTCATATTTCAATCAGATCTACTAGGGAAAACTTGCTAAGAATGGTCTTTAAAATTTTAAGTGTTAAAAAAAGATAAAGAATCTTCTGTGAGATGTCTATTTATATGAATTTAAATAAGATTTATTGTGACACAGCCATGTTGATTTGTTTACATATGGCTTGGGATGCCATGTGTTACCGTGGCTGCTTGGGGAATCTTTTGATCTGCAAAGGCTATAAAATATTTACTATCTGATCTTTGATAAAATAAAAAGAGGTTGCTGATCCGTGGTCTACACTATAACACTTTAAGACTTTGTAGGGGAGGTTGAAGAAAGAGGAGAGGGGAAGGAATGGGAGGAAAAAGGAAGGAATAGAAAGGGAAGAGGATATTTGTTTTGAGGAGTTGGCTCACATGATTATGGGATATAAGAAGTCCAAAATCTCCAGGGCAGACTGGCTAGATGGAGAACCAAGAAGAACTGATGTTAAGTTGATGTTAAAGTTCCAGTTTGAATGCAGTATAGAGACAGAATTTCCTCTTCCTTGGGAAATGGAAGGTAACTCTCTCTGTCTGTCTGCCTGTCTGTCTGTCTGTCTGTCTCTCTCTCTCTCTCACACACACACACACACATACACACACACACAGGTGAGCGCGCTCTCCCCCTCCACACTTTGTAAGGTGTGCAACTGATTTGATGAGTGTCACATTTTGTAGGTTAATTTTTATTCATTTAAATATTAATTTAATATAAAATATACCTTTGCAGCAACATCTAGGGTGGTGTTATACAAAGTATCTGGTGGCATGACCTAGTCAAATTGATGCATAATATTTACCCATCCCATCTTTTTTAAAGAATGTGGAAATAAAATAAAAAAGTAAATAAAAGCAAAAACTCTTGTTTATTACTGCCTAATGACTGAGAATGACATTATAGTATGTATAGTAAAGCCAACCATAATGAACTGATGTTGTGTTAAAGGGTGATTTTTATTTAGCTTCCCACTTTTCATTATTATTCTTTAATAATTAAAGCTTGTTTACTGTATGATACCAAAAATCTACTTAACATTTACAATTTTTTATTATCAAGGTGATGTACAGAAGTACATAAGGTAATAAGTATATTTCTTATCAAACTTGTTACCTCTTCCCTCATTTATCTTCTACTTTCCCTCCCCCCCCAAGTTGTACAGATCATTTCCAACATATTTTCTTCTGTATATCGCTGTTGCATTGGTTCCCCCCTGTCCTTTGTCTCATCATTCTGTTGTTTTCCTTCCCCTCACTAATTCAGATATATGTTTATACAATACCAGGGCACCAAAATCAAATGCAGTGACAACAGGGGATATACCATAGGGGCAGAACATACAAAAGAAACAAGAAATCATCCACATAGTACATTAAAAACAACAGCAAAGAAAAACTCTTGTGTCCATGTCTTGGAGTTCATTTCACTTCGCATCATCTTATATGGTTTTATGTATATAGCTCTTGAGCTATTCTGCTCATCTGCTAAGATTATCCTAGATCTATACTAATTATTGCACATTGTTAGGTTTTTAAAAAGAGGTTGCTGAGTAAGAACAGCACTACACATGTGGTGTTCAGGTAAGGGGTAGGTTTATTCATCGTTCTGGCTGGCACTAGGCCATCTTGGCCCTCCATGCGGCTGGGAAAGACCTGGGAAAGAGAGCTGGGAAAGAGAGAGAGCAGAGAAAGAGGGCGTCTGGGCCTGGGGTAGGCCTTATCTAGAATATGGGCGGAGAAAGGTGTGGTCACATCAAATTGGGATGTGACCTCAGTGAATGCAGATGTGACCTCTTCCAGGTGTGCCAGTTGCCTAGGTAATGCAGGTAGTGGGTGGAGACTTTGCTGCGAGGAGAGTGGAGTCTGCTCACCATCCAAGAGCAGACCTTACACACATAAGGGACATCATGAGACCTGTGTTTCTTTGGGGCTGGCTTACTTCACTTAATATGATTTTTTCCAAGTCTTTCCATTTCCTTACAAAGGAACAATGTCATTCTTTCTGATGAAGGCATAAAATTGGGTGATTTCTTTAGAAAGTGGTATGCTAACTCATGAAGGAGAAAACTTGGCTGCATGGATAGAAAATAAGTCAGTTACAAAACAAAAAAGAGATATGTGTTTGAAGTGTTCTGAATTAAGTAGAGATTTGGGCAGAGGCATTATCTTAGTGATCTGAATTTTGTTTTCCCAGGGTAATCAAAAGCCATGATGAAAATGATCTTAACTGGAGACCTTAAGAAGTTAATCTCAGAATTAGGAACTAAATCTAGCAGATTTGGAATTGATTGTTTTTTCAGGATGTTACTAGATGTTTGATAATTGGCTGCATGAGCCTGGGGCCAGTGAAGGAAATCTTTGTGAACTCCTTTGGAGTCCTCTTTTAGAGTTGACCTCCAAGGGGCCCTTCAGACTTTTCCAGACTAAAAGCCCTGTCTTAATTGCCACTTTGGTTTTTTACCACTGGCCATTGTCTCAATGTGTTCCCTTTCTGCTCTGAACCTTAATTACAGCACCAAATTAAGACTTGAAGTCCTGTTTTACAAAAGAAGCAATTAGAAGCCTGTTCCCCTTAGCCTGCCTTTTCAGTTTTTCTCCCATCAGCCCACTCTTCACACTACTGGTTATTTTCTCTAACTTCTTTTACCTTGTTTTAAACAGAGCTTGCAGCTGGGGGCCAGTGGCTCATGCCTATAATCCTAGCTACTCAGGAGGCTGAGATCTGAGGATCACGGTTCAAAGCCAGCCCAGGCAGTAAAGTCTGTGAGACTCTTACCTCCAATAAAACAGTAGAAAACCGGAAGTGGTGCTGTGGCTCAAGCGGTAGAGTGCTCTCCTTGAGCTGACGAGCGCAGGGACAGCGCCCAGGCCCAGAGTTCAAGCCCCATGACCGACAAAAAAAATAAATAAAAAATAGATAAACAGCCTGCCATTTGTTTAATGTTATCTCAATCTAAGAATATATGTCAACTATTTCCCTTTGCACTTTGAACCTCTTCTGCCCATAAGCTTATTCCTACCTTTTAAATCTATAATTCTAAAATTTTTTGTTTGGTTCTCACCAGACAATCCAGGTTCATTTTATCAATGCCAAATGTTGGTATGGTTTAGATAGTAAGCTAGTAGTTTTTAATTGCCTATGATTTGTCTGATGCTTTAGTTTTACTTGAGTTTTATGGCAGTCAACAGGGGAGGGATTACTATATTATTTTACTGATAAAACCTTGCTTTGCAAGGTTAAGAACCTCGATGGCCAGTCTGAATACAGAGACCTGCACTCTAGCATAAAAGAGCAGAGACCTTAGGGAAATACCTAAGATGCACCCTGGGGTTATGGCCTGCCTATTATATTCCTAATTAAAAAACAGTGAAATGAACATGACAAATTACACAGGATTGTAGACATACAATAGGACCAACGAGTACTCTTAGGGAAGGAATACAAAGGCATAATATTTGCCTCTGATTACATAAAATATCGAAATAAACTCCAAAAAAATGAAATGAGCCTTTCTTAGTTTTTACCTTTTAAAAAAAGAAAATTTAAGGTTATGTGCCATTAGTACATGAAAAAAGTCCCTCTGATAGTCATAATGTAGAAGAAACAGAATTGAGATAACAGTTGTGCTTCAATATCAAGGTGTAGCAGTGTAACATTGGAGAACTTAGAGATATTTTTATATATGCTTATATATTTAACAATAAGTAGTGGCATTTATTTATTTATTTATTGTTGGTCATGGGGCTTGAACTCTGGGCCTAGGCACTGTTCTGAGCTCATCAGCTCAAGGCAAGCACTCTACCACTTGAGCCACAGCACCACTTCCAGTTTCCTGGTAGCTAATTAGAGATAAGTCTCAAGAATTATATTAAGTGAAGTAAGCCAGGCCCAAAGAAACATAGGTCCCATGGTTTCCCTTGTTTGCAACAACTAGTATATGTCTGAGACAAACAGAAAAGGTCAGATAAAGTGATGTTAGATGAAATAAACCCCAAGATAAGTATTCAAATGTTTTTTCTTTCATGCAATTGTTTCTAACATATTTATATGATGATTTCTTTGTTGCTTTGTATGTCCCGCCCCCACAGTATAACCCCTGCTTTCACTGTATTTGATGATGGTATAATTTGTGGAGGGGAAGGGAAAAAACAAATAGTTTAACTAGGGCTACAGGTGGAGCCATTGCAACAATGAGATGTACAAGTCATTAAGTGGAAAAACAAACTTTACAACTTTGGCGGAGGGGGTGGGAGGGGGAGCAGGGGCAACAATGCTTGATAAGAAATGTACTCATTATCTTGCCCATGTAATTGTACTCCTCTGTACGGTATTTTCACCAAAAAAAAAAAAAAAAAAGAGTCTCAAGCACTGGGCTGGCTTTGAGCCTCCTGAGTAGCTAGCATTACAGGCGTGAGCCACTGATGTCTGCTGATTGGTGTCTTTGTGTTCATTTAGATTGATTGAGAGATGCTGTGTGTTTTTTGTGTGAGGAAAAAACTACCTCTTGAAACCAGTCTGAAACAAAAATGCTTTTGTAGTCACTGGCAAATGAACAGAGGTCAGGAAATGCGTCTCATTGAGTATAATTACATAGAATGTTAATTATGGAGGAAACAGTTGGATGGAAGGAATTGTGGAAAAGGGAATGGACGGGGTTTGACCACCTAGACCTCTTGGGTTTCAAACCTTGACTGCTGAGCACCTGGCTTGGCTTCTTGGATTCCTAACTCCAGGCATTAGTGACTGTCTGTAGTCAGTACCATTTATATCAAATAACGTGTGTTTTAGAAAATACAGAAAAGATGGAAGAATAATCACTGGACAGGAGTACTACTAGTGTTGATATTTTGATACATAACATTCCAGATGTTTGTGTGAGCATGTATAGTTGTTTTTGTTTTATCCAAAAGTGAAGTCATCTTCTGCCTTATACTTAGAACTAGCTTGTTTTATGTTTGAGCCCTGCCCCTCCCCACACCCCATCCTTGCCATTAAATTCCCTGTAATTGTATTTTTTTAAAAAAAGAAGAAGCTGGTTGAAGGTTACTCAGCATGTAAGTAATAGACTCAATATTGTGAACTCAAATTTGTTTGCTTCCAAAGTCTGTTCTTTCTACTGTGCTATGGTATCTGAAAGATCATATTTTTGAGCTTCTGGGTAGACAATGCTTTATAGGATCAACTAGTGTGATTTAATGACAGGAAAAGCCACAATGTATGTAGTTTTGTTAGCTGTATGTTTTTTGGTACTTTGAGTGGAATATGGCAGATGTCAGGAAGCAATAGGCATCTGCTGTAGCCAGAAATCAGCACCCACATAAACATCAGTTGCCTAAATGTTTTCTTTCATATATCTTGATATTTCTCAGAAGTACACCATCTGCTCATTGGATAGATGACTAGAAAATGTCTGCAGCAATTTTCTTGTTATCTCCCTTTTTATAACGAGCTACTTTGGTTTTTATGCATACTTAATCCAGTTCTGAACAGGAGTGCAGAATATCTACCAGATCATCACCATGAAGGGAGGAGGTGTATGCAAAACAGATTCAACAGGAGAAGCAGAAGGGATGGAAGTCAAGAGCTCAGGCTCAGAACAGAAAGACAAGTACTATATGTTCTCTTTGACTTGAGAGCAGAGTAGTGGTTGTGAGTAATTGGGACAGGTTTTATAAAGTACACAATGTATATGCCTATGGAAATGTCACGTTGAACCCTATTAATTATGTACAAAACATTTTTTTTAAAGACAGCATAGGCTCCATATGTGAGACATACTTGAAGCACAGCAGTATGGATTTTTTTTCTGGTTCTGGGCTTGAACTCAGCCTGGGCTCAAGGCTAGCTTTCTACCACTTGAGCCACAGCAACACTTCTTTTTCTAGCTTTTTCTGAGTAGTTTATTGGAGATAAGGGACGCATGGATTTCCTTCTCTCACTGGCTTCCAACTGTGATCCTCAGATCTTAGCCCCTTCAGTAGCTAGGATTACAAGCATGAGCCACCAGCACAGAGTGACTATTATCTAGTAGAAATTCAATAAGTGCTAGATTTTTTAAAATTATTATCTCTACTTACAGAATTTTCCCCCTTACTGTGAATAGACAGATTATGAAGCCAGATTAACTCATCTTTCTCACTTGGCTTTATGTAGCATGTAGATTTTAAAAATTGAACTAAATCACTGGTTTAATAAAAAGTATTTATTGTGACTCAAATGTTTTCTAGTTACTAGGAAAAAAAAGAGTGAGCAAAAACAAGTGATCTCTGTATCCTAAGGCCAGGGCTTAGAGTCTTGTAGGAGGAACAGACTGAGCAAATCAGTACATGCATACCTATACAGTTGTGGTGAGTGAGGGGAGGATGAGAAGAGTAGGGTGTGAGGTTTGTGGCAGGTGTGGGAAATTTGACCTTGTGAGTGACATCTGAACTACAGTCTGAGAGATGAGGAAGTCCTCACTGACATTGGAGAAGTGGAAAGGAAAGAATTACCTTGAGAGAATTTGTTCACTGTCTCCTTCTTTCCTCCTTCCTTCTTCAGCCACTCAAAACTCATTACAGCATCCAGGGTAATACTCAATTTGAAAGCATTGTATAGCTCTTCTAGATGTTGCAAATGGTGAAGTATTTTCATATTACTTGCTATAGAGGTTTGCTTGAAACTCTGTGCCAGGTGCTGGTGTAATCAAGGCTAGCTTTCTACCACTTGAGCCACAGCAACACTTCTGGCTTTTTCTGAGTAGTTTATTGGAGATAAAAGTCTCATGGATTTTCCTGCCCCAGCTGGCTTCCAACTGAAATCCTCAGATCTCAGCCCCTTGAGTTGCTAGGATTACAAGCTACTGAGAAGGTGGCAATCTGAGGATCAAGGTTTGTAGCCACCCTAAGCACAAGTCTGTGAGACTTTTATCTCCAATTTATCAGTAAAAAGCTAAAAGTGGATATATGTCTCAAGTGGCAGAAAGCCAACCTTGAGTGAAGAAGCTGAGCGATAGCATCCAGGCCCTAAGATCAAACCCTATTGCTGGCATGCATGTGCACATACATACACATGAGCACTCTCTCTCTCTCTGTCTCTCTCTCTCTATCTCTCTGTCTCTGTCTGTCTGTCTGTCTGTTGCTCTCTCACATACACACACACTTTGAGTAGTTCCAAAAGTGTGTTCCATCTTCATTTCATGAGTAGTTCATTCCCCCTGCTTTGGCTGTTCCCCACTCTCCTTCACAATCCACCAGACTTCTCCACCACCAGCAACTAAGTGGTTGATGCCTGTGACAAGTGATCCTCAGAGGCCTACCTGCTCAGACTAACCTAGTAGATGTCATCTACTAGGTTAGCACTGGGGCCTTCTTGGATATAACATTTGCAATGTTACTCTTTGCCACCACTTCAACGGTTCAATCTTTAGTTTGTCTCCTGGGAGAGACATGTAGATGCAATAAAACCCCCAGTTCATTTTGAAGAGTTAAGTTCTTCCTCTTTCAATTTGTTTGTATTTTCATTAAAAAAAATCTTATGACCTTTGAAGCTAATGAAGAGAAACTAACTTGTCCTTTGAATGAATTACTAAATTAATATCTCACCTTAATTCCTTGGTTCATTGCAGTTATATTTTACTTTGTGGTTTTTAAGTTAATGAAAATCAAAGAAGCTATAGTTTATGCTCCAAATAGAATTTTAAATGATAGCCCTAATCTCAGGAAAAGGTTAGCAGGGGGAACATTTCAAAACTATTTCTAGAGAACAAAATGTACACTCCAAGTGAGCAAACAGAAATGACTATTAATATTGCTTTAAAAATTGCAAGCAAACTCCTATAAATGAACTAAAAAATCAGCCAGTTTCAAAGTTTTTAATTTTATTATTCCCTGTACATATGAGTGTCAAATCATAGATTTTGTAGTGGAATGTTTATTCATTTTTATGCCCACTAGTGTTATATTGCCTTTTAAACAGATAGCTATTATTTCTATAGATGTTCAAATTAGGAATTGATGGTTTTAAAACATGTGAATGATGGAATAGCACTGAAGACCCAGAAATGAACCCATAGACCTATAGGTACCTAATCTTCGATAAGGAAGCTAAAAAAAATAGAATGGAAGAAAGACAGTCTCTTCAGTAAATGGTGCTGGAAAAATTGGTTAAACACCTATAGAAAACTAAGGCTAGATCCTTATATATCACCCTGCACCAGAATCAACTCCAAATGGATCAGAGACCTCAAAGTCAAAGCAGACACCCTGAAAACATTACAGAAAGAAATAGGAGAAACTATAGGGCTCCTTGCACAGGCTGACATTTTCTTAATAAAGGTCCATAAACACCACAAATCAAAGAAAGGTTGGACAA